AACAAAGTTTATATGTAATTCTATATGTTTTTTGCTATAATTTTATATATAAAAAATTTAGATGTGACAAATCGGTTGACTGATATGTAACAATAAGTAGAGCAACCTTATAAAAAAATTTTCATATTCTAAGCTTTGATGAAAATTAAGTAAAATGTTTCAGAATTACTTTGAATAAGTATAAAAGGCTACAAATAATACACAACAATGGCTTACAAAACCTTCGATATTTTTTATTCTACTATCATCCGATTCTCAACATACGTATTTATATCCACACATAAACCATAACATTTATATCATAAGAACCAATTTATGTTAGTAATTAAAAACCTAATACATCTAGATAAGATATACGGTTAGACATGAAATAGCATATATTAACTTGTGAACTCTCATAAACTATACTCCCATACATTAGTATAACTTATACACCCACTGTTCAATCAAGCTAACGATCAATCTGCTGTATTATTATAATTTCCAATGACTATATACGACTCGCTATACTTATATGTATACATATGTATAACATTATAGTTACGCTTTATTTATCTACACACTATATTTCAACGTTTCCCGTGGTTGATCATACGAATTCTTGTTTAATAATTTAAATTTTTTCTATTAAAAAATAACCTTTTTGATATTATATTTTATGTTGATATCATATACCAATTTAAGAATAACTTGTATTGAATCTTTAATAAAAAATAATTTAATCGAAATTATGAAAAACACATGACTTCTATGACTTTTGGTAGGGCGCTGTACAACGACGTCTTTTTTTCTTTATTTAATATTATATAAAAAAAAAAATTAAAATAAAATAAACATAAAATACGACCGTGGCCCAACGAGAGTTTCCGAATTATAGTTTATTATTGGCAGATTTAAATTTTTTTTTTTTAAGATAATAACTGACTAAGCAGGCTTAGCCATATCAAACTTATTGACTAGGCTAAGCTTATAAGTTTTTAATCGGCTACAATCACTAATGACCACGCTCACTGGAGGATCTTTCAGAACTGCGACTAATTGTAAAAAATAAATCAGCAAAATAAGATATAAACAATGAGATATAAACAATATAAAATATTAACAAAATCCACTATTTTTAATAATTATATAAAATTTTGCTTACGAAAGTCTTCGATCTTCACCGCTGTGTCGTCTTTCACGACTTCGACTTCTTTCGTCGTCAGAATATCTTCTATAATATCGATCATCACGATCTCGACTGTCACGATCTCGATCCCTTCTCGGTGTTAACGATCTTCTTGGCGAACGAGAGCGAGACCTATTACATACAAAGCGTTCCTGAAGTTAACCGATTTTCTATCCAAAAAGTAACAACTATTGCTATTTGGTTTCGAACAATAACTTAAGCTTGTTGAAAACTTCGATGAGGAGGTGAAATAATACATATAAGAATATTAAATATGGAAATAGAACGGCGGAATAGAAAGGTGACGGTGAATCTTTGATACGGTTATCATCACGTTCGACATTGAATGTTCGCGGGTTTCAGAAACGGAAAACGGTTATAACGGTTCCCATATCAATTTTAATGGTTTGCTTTGGTCGGATGAGTATAATCTCGTTGCTATGGATTGGAGGTCTTTGAATAGACATATTTGTTCCTCCTTGATTACTCAATTCCGACGTAAATAGGGTAGGTTCTTCAAAGCCAAGTAATTCTTGTAGATTATAATACGGACACACGGCTTTGCGGATATTTTAGTAAATTTAAGGTTTCGATTAAAGAGACAAAAAACCGCATTTGACGTACAGTCATCCTTCTCCATAATCACATTTTATATTACTCAAAAAAGTGATTATAGTAATGTGATTATATAAAGGTTTTTTTTAATAAGTATATTTGCTAATTATTTTCCAAAAAAAAAAGTGCTTATAAAAAGGGTGTGATTATATAGATGATTATATAGATGATTATATAGAAGGTGACTATATAGAGGGATGACTGTAACCAAATGAAGTAATGGCCTCCGGATTTTGCTAACGGTTTTGCTAACATAACAAATTAAAGGTCTCTCAAACCCAACAATCGACGTTCTTGGAAGTAATGAAACAAGAAAATTTCAATTATAAACAACTTTAACGAACACAAACCTTCTTCTTGGACTCCTGCTTCTACGCCTATCCCTTCGGGATGATGAACGACAGTCCTTTGCCCAATGGCCTAAATTTTGAATAATTTGTTATTCTAAGAATATGTTAAAAAAAAAACTTTTTTCCAAAGATCTACTATTATTCTTGCCTTCTCTTCCGCATTTAAAACATTGGTTTTCAGCTGATTTCAAAATTGAGTAATGTATAAATTAAAAATCACTAGCATATAAATATCTTCAAATTGTTATTAAGGATAAGATTAAAAAATATGTATACCCGGCTTCTTTCCACCATTTTTTGCCCATTCTACAACAATTCTATTCCCGCGTACTCGCTAGATAATCATCCGGAATAAATGTGAATGAACACGAAACAAGTGAAAGACTCTATCTTCCTTTTAACAGTTTGCTGACGGATCTTTCTTTCACGTCGCAATACACACCAGGCCGTCTGTCTCCTTCATAGCATCAGAGGCATCCCTTTCATCCTGATATTCGACAAAGGCGTAACCTCTCTTAACTTCCAATCGATTTAGCCGCCCATATTTATCAAAGATGTGTTCAAGATCTCGCGGGTGGGTATCTAAGGATAACCTAAGTACAAAATAGCAATTAATACAAATTAATACAAGTTAGCGAGCTACTAAAATAAAGATCCATACCTTCCAATAAAGAGTGCCATTTTTTTTTTGAGGTGATGAACAACTGATTAATCTAAAATAGAGAAAAGCGGGATGAAAGTTATTGTTGTTGCTATGTTTTTAATCTTGAATAATATTGGTACCAGGGTTCATAATTTTGGGGTGTTACCCCCAGTATCGCCACAAATTAGCTGCGTGCGTGCGTGTGTGCGCACGCACGTACGTACATACCTGATTCTGGCCGATCGTATTTCATTACTAAGCCGATAGGTTTATCGGCTTAGCCGGCTTAGTCGGCTTAGTCGATTGTAAGTTGCATCCGAAGTTATATGTCTCTTTTACAGCTGTTCTCATAAAATTGACCGAATTATTATTTGGCCGATTCGATAAGTTACTGATTTCGGCATGATCAGTGTAACGTTTATTAATTAAAACTCACGCGAAAATATAAAACGCTACAAGGCTTTAAACGACTTCTATTTTTACATCCTAACCAAAGTTCCATCTCTGCTTGTAATTCATAAAAATACCAGTCAAATTTTTTCCATTAAAGCCTTAAGACATTTTATATCATTCAGGTTTAGTGGATGTGGTTTTCTTACAAGTGGGAAAGTCTTTCAAATTGAAGATCTGCTAACATCTAAGTGTTTAGCAATTGTTCGAACTGATAACTCTTTTAAATTTCTTTCGACTATTTTCCAGCGAATATGTTTCGAAAATATCATATTTAACCAGTATTATATCAATATTGGTTATCTGGTTATTATCAATTAAAATTGTCACTGCACTGTAAATAATATTTTTTTCACGTAAGTTTTAATTTACAGATAGATTAGTAATCAATTTAAAAAACGTATGTACGCCTTTTAAGATTAAAAAAAAAAAAGAAAACGTATGTACGTACGTACGTAGATGCGTGCGTACGTACGTACGTAACTGGCTTTAGAATATCAATATCTACGTAAATAATAAACGTACACTGATCATGCCGAAATCAATAACTTATCACTCGGTTAATTTTTTACCAGCTGTCCCTAACGCTAATTTACAAATTTGATTTTAAGGAAGGCCGGCTTTAAGAATAATTTCGGCGGGCATTAAGACAAAATAAATTAATTAGCGTTAGCTTTTTTTTCTCTTGGCAAAGATCCGGACCGGACCTGAAAAACCGGGTCTAAAACCAACCCGGAATCAGGGATATAGGCTGACTTTCTCGTGATTGGCCAATTTTATTCAATTGAATTTATACAGTTTAAAGTACTTTTACCCCCTAA